GACCTACCACCACCTCCTCACGAGCTGAAAACACCTGAGGCTGCCCCCGTTTTACATATTTCTGCTCCCCTTCAGCCTCCCCCTCTTGAACCTCCCCCGGATGCCCATGTTGTCACGGAGTCGCTAACCACGTGGGGGATTTCGCCAGGGACCCGAACATTCGAGACACTTTTTAAGGCAGGCGTACTCTGAGAATAGGTAATCTCGAGCTACACCATACTTTGCCCTGGTCCCTCGTGGCTACCGCATGCGTCGGTGGTTGCCTGGGTCAGGCTGGTTTTGCTCGGGACCTTAGCTGCGACCCTGGTGCCCAGAGCATGGCATATGCGCCTTCCTCTTAGAGTTAGAGGTTCGCCGTGCCAGAAGCCATCCGGAGTTGCGTGAGATACCTCGGCTCACGATTGCGCGATGTTGCGAAAGGTCGAGTGCAGGAGAACACACTCGGACAAAACCGAGGTTGGCGCCGGAGGTGTGCGAATCGAATCGAATTGAACCCTCCTCCTCCTCCTTCTCCTCCTCCTCCTCCTCCTCCTCCTCCTCCTCCCCCGCGGTGATGGGCGGCGGCGCTGCGACCGCAGCCGCGGCCCCAGACCCTTTCGAATAACGGAAAAATCACGACGGGATGTGCTTTTCGTTATTTTCGGTTTCTGGGGGCTCTTCCCGGCCTTCGGGACCGTCAGAAAACGATTCAGGATGAAAAATCAGACCCGGCGAATGGGTCGAGACCCTTGGGGGTCGAAGTCATGAAAAAATAATGACGTCGGGGGTCTGGGGCGGAAGGCGCCCTCGACGTGGTTATGGTGGCAAGTGTTGGTGTTCGTGCGGGCGTTGTTCGTGCCTTGGCGGAGCCTGAAGCGGGCGCCGCCGTCCCCGACCCTGACTTGCTCGACGACGAGTCGGTCGGGGTCGGCGCCGCCGACCCCGACCCTGAAGGGGCGATTCGCTCCAGCGGAGGGTCCAGCCCACGTAACAAGGTCGGGAGCGAGGCCGTGAGTTACCCAGCGGCACCGCCGCCCCTTCGGACCAGACCCTTCCCTTTCTTGATGCGGCCATGACGGAGACGAGGTTAGCGCCAGCAGTGGTTTCTCGCAGGCTTCTCGCGAGCGTAAACTTTTGACGTTCCGCGTGGATTTCTTGGATCCGCACGGGGCCCCCCCGGCAGCGCCCCCAGCGCCGCCCCCGGCGCGTTCCGCGCGCCAGGGATGGGGGCCCAGCGCAGATCTCAGAAGTCCGCGCGGGCCGTCCAACATTTATGTCTATGCCGTTGTTTCTTCTTCTAGTCTTGCGGTTGGTTGTCGCGAGGGTCTGCAAGGCCAGCATGCAGGCCGATCAGAGTTAGCCCCGTGCAGGTTCTGTGTCTTCCTTCGACCTCCGCTGTCACACGCTTTGATGTCCCCTCATCCTCCTCCCCCTTCCACCTTCCTCCTCTCTTTTCCCTCCTCCTCCTCCTTTTCCCCTTCTCCCCCTCTTCCTCCTCCTCTTCCTCCTCTACTTCCTCTTCCTCCATTCATTTTCCTTATAATCTACCTCTCTGTCAAACCCCGAGGCTAATTTTTAGGGCGGGCCGGGCGTTTCGCCTGAGATCTCCTCACAATTTATGACTTCGAAGCTTAAACAATGACAGCAGGTTCGCGGATGGAGGGCGGGCCGTTTTCAAAATGTGGTTCTCCCCTTAGTGCCACGCACATTCGTTTTACACATTTGCAACAATTTCACGGATCGAGAGCGGGTGGTCTTCAACATGTGGTTGTCGCCTTAGCGCCGCGCGCACTGTTTCAAGAATCTGCAAGAGTTTAACCGCATGAGGGCGGGTGCTTTTCAGAATGTAGCTGTCGCGTTAGCGCCGCGCACATTCTTTTTACACATTCGCTAGAGCTTCACGGATTGAGGGCCGGTCGTTTTCAGCATGTGGTTGTCGCCGGAGCGCCGTGCAAACTCGATGTAGCAATTTGCAAGGCATTCGCGGATTGAGGGCGGGCCCTTTTCAAAAAGTGGCTCTCGCTTTAGTGCCGCACACATTCGTTTTGCAAGAGTTTCACGGATTGCGGGCGGGTGGTTTTCAACACGTGGTTGTCGCTTCAGCGCCGCGCACATTCGTTTTAAGAATTTGAAGGAGTTTCTCGGCATGAGGGCGGGTGGTTTTTAAAATGTGGTTGTCGCCTTAGCGCCACGCACATTCTTTTTAAACATTCGCTAGAGTTTCACTGATTGAGGGTGGGTCGTTTTCAAAATGTGGTTTTCGCGTTAGCGCCGTGCACATTCGCTTATTTTGCAAGAGTTTCACGGATCGAGGGCGGTTCTATTTCAAAATGTGGTTCTCGTCTTGCGCACATGCATTTTAAATTTTGCAAGAGTTTCGTGTACTCCCATAAGCAACGTACCAGAATTGGTGTGTGGGAAGGATTCAGGACTGCGCGGGCGCAGCAGTTATGTTGCTTCGCGGTGTCGCGGTGTTGAAGTCCCCCAAAATGGCGTTCTGGCACGATTCCAGATCGTCAGGACGCAGCAGTCAGGTCGATCCGTGGCGTTGAAACCCCGAGAGCGATGTTTCGGCATGCTTCAAGGTCTTCAAATGGTTGTCTTCCAACGAAGCCGTTCCCTTCAATGGAAATGAACCGTTGTAATTAGGGGCCTACGAAGAGGGGAGCTTTTGGAAGGAGGGTCACCTCCCACGTCGTTGATGACTCTTGGGTTTACATTGGTCCTCCTCCTCCTCCGCCTCCTCCTCCTCCTCTCGACGACGCCGGCGCCCACGACGACGCCGGCGGCGACGGCGACCGGCGGGCGGCGCCTTTCGAGGTCCGCGGCGACCCCGTCGGCGGAGTGCAGGAGGCACAGGGTCGTGTGCGGCCACTCGGAGTGCCCGGGCGACGCCGTCACCGTCGGGGACGCGGACGCCGAGGCCGCGCCGCCGCGCACTGATTGCAAGTGCTCCTCCTCCTCCTCCTCCTCCTCCTCCTCCTCCTCCTCCTCCCCCTCCTCCTTCGGTCGTTGACAGTCGGTGGTTTGGGGATGCCCAGATCCCAATCTGCTTGAGGCGCCCTTCCGCTTCCAGGGTCGAGCGGTGTTCCCGCTGCCCTCCTCTTCAGGGGGCGGGCGGGAGCCCAACCGAACTACTCCCAACGCCTTCCCACTTCATGTGTTTACCCACTTCTTCCGGCTGACGGGTGGAGAGACGAGAGAGAGAAAGAGAGAGAGAGAGAGAGCGATAGACTTTGTATCGCTCGGACGTGTGCATTTTTCTCGCCGAGGTCAGCGCCAAAACATCTGAAGCATCGTGGTTCATGCTGGACCATCTAGGGAAAACAACGCGGGAGACCAAACAAAGCACGATGAATAGACGTCCAAGAGATGGCAATGATCTATATATATAGAGAGAGAGAGAGTGAGTGATAGAGAGAGAGAGAGAGAGACAGAGAGAGAGAGAGAGAAAGAGATAACCACAGTCACAACACAACAGCGGCCCTCCCTCCCAGTTGCGATGGGCCAACCTGCGCGGGTTCTGGCTGGTTCGCCTGTGGGTCTGGCGATGGCTGGATCGATGCGGGCCATTCTCGAGAGACCTGCGCGACAGGCTGTGCTCGTGCACCCGTCATCTCACTCCTCCCATCACCTCAGGGCTCATTTGGACTCCTCCGATTCGATTCGATTTCGATGGCTTCCAATTCCGATTCGATTCGACTTGGGAATCCGATTTGGATTTCGACTTCTTATGGGACTCATCTTTGCCTGCCGGTTTCCGCCGATCCGACTTCCCGACTCGGCGGCCGACCTCCGCGGATCCGACTCGTGCCGACGGCCGATCCGACTGGTCGATCCGAGCCTGGGCTCTCTTGCCCCCCTGCCCCCTTGTGGGTCTCTTGGCGTGTGAGATTGCTCCCCCCCCTGATCCCCCCCCCAGGGACCCCAAACTGGGCATTCGACCCCCCCCCCCATGGCCGCGTGCGGCCCCGGGGCCGAACGCGGCATGGGGGGACAGACGGCTCCCCGAAACGACCCACGAGAGCTCCAAGAAGATGCTCCCAAGACAATCCAAGAAGTCCAAGATGCACCCAAGACAATCCAAAAAGGCCCCCCCGCCGCCGGCAGCAGCGCAGCCCCAGCCCCGCGCCACCGCGGCCCCGGGCTGCCTCGGCCGCAGCGCCCCGTACGGAGGCCGGGGCGGCGTGGCCCGGACGCCCCCCCGGCGCAGCACGCGTCCGCGGGCTCGATCGCACCCGTGGGATCGCGCCGTCCGGCACCCGCGCGGCGAGGGCACGTGAGGCCCCCAGAGGCCAGGGCACGGACAAACCAGGGCACGGGAAGCCAAGGAAACGAAACGTGTTGGGATGTTTGGTGTCCGGGTTCAGCGTGTCCGGGTTTAGCGTGTCCGGGTTTATGAATCCGGATTGGCTTCGAGAGATCCGAGCATTTTCTTTGGGTGGAGGGCGCAGGGTGAAATCTGAAATGCCGTTGCGATGCATTCTCGAGGCTTGAATCTGCAACAGGTGAACCACAAGACGGATTGGTTTTCGAGATGCAAGAGCCCAGCTGAGCCTTCCACCCTAAGAACATGCTCAGGAGATGTTGGGTGTCCGGGTTTAGCGTGTCCGGGGTTACGGGGCCCTGAGCACGGGCACCCAGGCAGATCCCAGGCTCCGACGAGGGAAGGAGCGGCCAGTCTTTGAGCCGCTCTCGCCCTCCGAGGGGCCCTCCTCGGGGCCGCGGGCACCGTCGGATGCGGCTCAGGGCGAGCAACCAGCCCCGTAGCTCGACATCGCTCGGACGTGCGCATTTCCTCTCGGCCAGGACCCTCGAGGAGAATTCGGGGTGATCCTGCGGAAAAATACGCGCACGACACCGGAACATACACGAGGAATGGACGTCCGAGCGGTGGCGTGATGGGGAAGTGGTCCAAACCTCCGGGGGCCCACACGCATGGAAAACATGGAGCGACGCCGGGTGTCTGGGTACGGATGTGTGCGTACGTTGCTGGTTATTCCGCCCCCTGCCCCCGTCAGCCGCTGGACCTCGGGATATCCTCGGGATATCGGCCCTCGCCGCCGCCCGCAGCCGTCTACCCGGGGGGCACCACAAGGTACCCATACCGCTGCTCTCCTGGACCTCTCCCCAGAGTGCGTTCGGACCAGAAAATTTCGAGGCGAATCCAGCCGTGGAGACGGGGGCACGAGCGGAGGGCAGTAGCATCGGTACCTTTTTGTTGATGGGCCCATTTTCCACCACCACTGCCATGGGCAGGACAGGGGAGAATGGAGGATGGGGAGGTCCTCCTCCTCCTCGTCGTCTTCCTCCTCCTCCTCCTCCTGCTCCTCGTCCTCCTCCTCCACCTCGTCGTCATCCAGAGTCTCCAGAGCCTCCTTCTCCTCCGCCTCCTCCTCCTCCCTCTCCTACCTATGGATCTGGTGGTGGAGAATTGGTCCATCACCTTTGTTCCTCGCCTGACGCCCAGCGCATGCGGGCGCGCGGCGCGTTGCGGCGCGGGAGCGCGGGGCGCGCGCGCTGGCAGGGCGGCCCCCGGTGGTGGCCCTGGCCTGCCGCGGCCACCGCTGGCCCCGGCCGCTCCCCGCGGTGGCCACTGGCGGCCCTCGCGCTGCTGCTCGCGCGCGCGGAGCTCGGGGGCGCCTTCTCGAGGTGCCCATGGCAGGGGGGGATGCCCACACCGCTGCCCCCTGCTCCTCCTCCTCCTCCTCCTCCTCCGCATCCTCCCTCCCTCCCCTCCTCCTCCTCTCCTTCCTCCTCCGCCCTGTCCTCCTCCTCTCTCCTCTCCTCTCTCCTACTCCTCCTCCTCCTCCCCTGTTCCTCCTCCTTTCCTCTCCTACTCCTCCTCCTCTCCTCCTCCTCCCTTCTATCTTTCCCCCCCTCCTCCTCCCTCCTATCCCCTCTCTCCTCCTCTCCTCCTCCTCCTCTCCATCCTCCTATCGTTCTCTAGCCTTCCTCCCCTATCCGTCCTCCTCCTCCTCCTCCTCCTCCTCCTCCTCCTCCTCCACCCTCTTCCTCCTCCTTTTCCTCCGAAGTTGGAGTTCTCGAAGTCCGCCCCTCCCCTTTTGGGTTTCCCCAGGGGCGCGCGGTGGCTGCCCTGGCCGACGCGACTGCTGCCCGCCGAGCTGGAGCTGGTGGTCTTCGACCTGGCGGGCACCACCCTGGACGACACCGTGGACGGCGAGCCCCTGGCCGGCGTCGCCTTCCGCGACGCCTTCGGGCGCGTGGGCCTCTCCCTGGACATTCGGGGGAACGAACGGTGACACGAGCACGATCACTCGGAGGCCCGCGCGGACTTCTCGCATCAGCGACGGGGGCCCCTCGGCGGCGCCTCTGGCGCCGCCCCTGGTGCGTTCCGCGCGCCATGGATGATGAGCCCGTGTTCTACCACCACCACTACCAGAAGTTGGATGGGGGAAGGAGGACGAAGAGGAGGAGGAGGAGGAGTAGGAGGAGGAGGAGGAGGAGGAGGAGGAGGGGGAGGAGGAGGAGGAACGGGAGGACCTCCTCCAACTTACATGCCCATCAATGGAGGGGGGTTCAGCGCCGATCCGTGAAGTGCGCGCGGACCTCCGAGCTTCCATGTTTATGCCACGTTTTGTTCCCATGACATCGCCGCGTTCACTGCCGTGCGGGGCCTGGAGAAGCGCGAGGCCCTGCGGAGGCTCTGCAGGGGCTTCCCGCGGTCGCTGGTCGGGTCCTGCTCGGACGCTTTCGTGGAGGAGCTCTACGCCTACTGGAAGCAGGCCCCCCCTTGGCCCCCACCTGCCCCGCACTCTGTCAGCGAGCGAAGGACGAAATAAGATACACTTCTCCGCCGTGGGGGACGCCTGCCCCTGGGCGGCTGGAGAGCGTCTGCCCCCTACGGTGCCACCGTAGGGGTATATAGAGGTTCCAGCCGTCCCGGGACAGGCGCCCACGACACACGATGTGTGTGTATGGATGCCGTTTCTTTCCGCCCCTGCGGAGTTCCTTCCTCCTCATTTTTTTTTTTCCATCCCACACTCATGGTATGTCCTCATCCTCCTCCTTCATCCTCTCCTCCTCCTCCTTCTCACCTCCTGTAGCGCACAGCGCGTGTCCACGCACTCTGCGCACCTGCTTGAATCCAGGCTTGGCCCGTTCACTCTGCCGCCTCCCCTCTCCCGTGTTTCCTCCTCCGCCTCCCCGTCCAGCCTTCGAGCTGCGGACTCGTCCGTGCATCACGGCCTTGCAGCCCTCGCCGCCCTCCTCCACCCCGGCGGCGCCAGGGGCAGGGCAGGGCAGATAACCAAGAGTTAAAGGGAGAGAAGCAACTGGGGAACCAGCTAGCGTTCGGTCGGGCCTGTCCCTCTCCAGGAGGACAATTCAAAAATAGCCAAAAAGTAGTATGGGGACGATGTTTCTAGTATTGCTTGACTATTTTGTAGCATTGTTTTACTATTTTGAATTTCCCTCCAAACTCCGCCTCTAGGGGGGCACGCCCGACCTAAAGCTAGTGGCGAACATGCACGTGGAGGGCTAAGAGGAGCGAGGCTGTCTGTGGCGGCCGGTTGCGCGTGCAGTTGTCCGTCCGATCCTGCTCTTCCGCCTGCCAGTCGCAGGCGGTGGGGGACCGCCTCGTCTCGGGAGACTTGCGGGAGATCCCCGGAACCTCCTCCGCGTTCAGTGCGCTGAGGGAGCGCGGCACGAAGGTGTTCGTCTCGACCGGCTTCGAGCAGAGGATGCCTATCGGTATCGTTTAACCGATCGCCATCCCCAACCCCGTCCCCTTCGATGCCCCCACCAAAGTTTCACCCAGGTGGGGATACACCCCTCGAAACCCGAAGGGGACGACCCATATCCCCATCTAGGGGGGGAAATCGGCCAGTGGGGCCCTCTAGGCCTCCTAGATGGGGTCGGAGTAGATGGGGTCGGAGGATCGCGCCGCATCGCCGATGCATCGGCGATGCATCGGCGATGCGGCTCGATATGGGGCCCAGTTTTCTCCACGCCGACGTCGCGGATGTATCGCCGACGTCGCCAGTGCATGGCCGAAGCATCGGCGATGCATCGCTGATGTATCGGCAATGCGGCGAGATCCTCCGACCCCATCTACTCGGACCCCATCTAGGAGGCCTCTAGGCCCAGGCCACGCCGCTGGGGATGGGGATCGGATAAACAGTTCTCAGGATAGCCGAGGCCATCGTCTCCAGGCTCAACTGGACGATCGACGGCCTGGTTGCAGGCGCCCGGCGCCCGCGGCCCGACGCCATCTTCGAGTGCATGAACCGCACCGGCGTCGTGCATCCTGGGCGTGTCCTCAAGGCAGGGTCCATGTCGTTCCGATCGATCCACTGCGAGAGGAGGAGGATGAGGAGGAGGAGGAGGAGGAGGAGGAGGAGGAGGAGGAGGAGGAGAGGAGAGGAGGAGGAGGAGGAGGACGAGGAGGAGGAGGAGGAGCGAGGAGGAGGAGGAGGAGGAGGATGAGGAGGAGGAGGAGGAGGAGGCGGACGGGATGGAGGAGGAGGAGGAGGAGGAGGAGGCGGAGGAGCGGAGGAGGAGGCTGGAGGAGGAGGCGGAGGAGGAGGAGGAGGAGGCGGAGGAGGAGGAGGAGAGGAGAGGAGGAGGAGGAGGAGGAGGAGGAGGAGGAGAGGAGGAGGAGGAGGTAGTAGGAGGAGGGGAGGGGGAGGTGGAGCGTGGGAGGGGGAGGAGGAGGAGAGGAGGAGGAGGAGGCGGAGGAGGAGGAGGCGGGGAGGAGGAGGAGGAGGAGGAGAGGAGGAGGAGGGAGGAGGACGGAGGAGGAGGCAGGAGGAGGAGGCGGCGGAGGATGGAGGGAGGAGGAGGCGGAGGAGGAGGAGGAGGAGAGGAGGAGGAGGAGGAGGAGGAGGAGGAGGAGGAGGAGGAGAGGAGGAGGAGGGGAGGAGGAGGAGGAGGGGAGGAAGAGGAGGAGGAGGAGGAGGAGGAGGAGGAGGAAGAGGCGAGAGGAGGAGGAGGAGGAGGAGGAGGAGAGGAGGAGGAGGAGGAGGAAGGAGGAGGAGGAGCGCGGAGGAGGAGGACGGAGGAGGAGGAAGAGGAGGAGGAGGAGGAGAGGAGTGAAGGCAGGAGGAGCGAGGAGGAGGACGGAGGAGAGGAGGAGGAGGAGAGGAGGAGGAGGAGAGGGAGGGGAGGGAGGAGTGTGGAGGGGGAGGGGGTAGGGGCGAGGAGGCGGAGGAGGGGGAGGAGGAGGAGCGGGGAGAGTGAGGCGGAGGAGGAGGAGGAGGTCTCGATTCTGGCCAGCTCCAGCTCGATCCGATTCGAGCCCGATGTCTCGACGGTCCGATCCGAACCGATATTTGCACGGCGCTGCTGTGTACTCTGGCGCGGCTGGTGCAGCCCGATCCGTCGCATGTTCAGATGCGATCTCCCGATTCGATGCCGATCTGGCCGTTCATCGAATAAGACAGACGGCAGAATCATCATCTCCTGGAGGTCCGCGCGGACTTGGACCGGCGCAAGGCCCCTGTCCGCACTTCGGACGCTGCCCCTGGCGCGCTCCGTGCGACTGGGAGGGGGTCAGTCGCTGACCCAAGACATCCGTGCGCACCTCAGAGTCATGCTGTGTTTGTTCCTCCGTCTAATTCAGGTCGGAGACTCCGTGGCCGACGTCGAGGATTGGCACCACCCAACCAGACTTCTATATTAGATGTGCGTCGGCCACGCAGTGGCTTCGCGCACGCTCGGAAATCATACAGTGCAAGCTCCGTGGCGGGCTCCTTCTGGCCGTACCGTTCTGGAACCGATATATCCACAAGATTCTGTACTATCTGTTCGGGTCGGGCGTGCGTCTGCAACAGGGGCATTTCGACTTAGTGTGCCCCTGTGCGTCCCAGGCAAGGGCAGGGCCGCGGGCGTGCTGGCCGTCAATCGCCCATTCATCGTCGAGAGGGGTTTGATGGCCCCAATCTGCCAAGGAGCGTGCGGATTTTTTGCCATCAGGGGCCTATCGCCGACGTATCGGTGATGTATCGCCGATTCCAGGTCGACGATCCCCCCCCCCACCCACACCCCCCCCCCCCCCCCCACCCCCCCCCTCCCCCCCCTCCCCCCCCCCCCCCCCCCCCCCCCACCCCCCCCCCCCCCCCCCCCCCACCCCCCCCCCCCCCCCCCCCCCCCCCCTCCCCCCCCCCCCCTCCCCCCCCCCCCCCCCCCCCCCCCCCCCCTGTGCCAGTCCCCCGATCGTTTGCCCACGGAAGCCACTCACATGAATCGACAACGCCTCATGAAAGCCCCAACCAGGCCACGAATAACGTGCGGATTTGACTGCTCGGTGCGCCTCAGCGCCGACAAATCCCTATCCCGGCGATGCATGAGCCGATCATCAGGTCTTGCATGCTCTCCCCCCCTTTTATACTCCCCCCTCCTCCCTTTCGCCCCCCTCGTCCTCCTCCGCATCCTCCTCCTCATCCTCCTTCTCCTCCTTCTACTCCTCCTCCTCCTCCTCCTCCTCCTCCTCCTCCTCCTCCTCCTCCCCTCCTCCTCCTCCCCCTATGTTCCTTCCTCCTCCTCCTCCGCCCCGTAGGGGCACCCCCATAAGCGGGGTGTCGGGCCAAAGTGCCACCTGGTGCAGGGGGGGAGCACTGGGCCTTTGGGGTCCAAACTCCGCACCCGGGCTTTCCTTCCAGGGGGGGCTGCAGGTACCGTGGCGTCCCCCATGGCGGTGCGGGGGTGCACTCCCCGCACTAGCCGTCTTGGGGCGGGACTGGCGGTCCGTCCTCCCCGTCGTGTCGTGTGGTTCTCGGTCGTCGTCGTTGCCGCGGCGGTCGGGTTTGTTGAGCGCACCGCTGGAGGTCCTCAGCAGCCCGACTGCCGCGGCTTGCGTTTTCCCTGTTGCGCTCGGCCGGCCCGGCCGGGGCGCCGTGGGGTCCCTGGGCGGCCAATGCGCCGTCCAGGGCCCCGCGTGCGACATTTTGTTGTGGCCGCCCCGCACAGTGGGGGCCTTGGCTGCGGATGTCAAAAATTTCCTCGTCCTCCTCCGCTGTAGCTGTTGTGGCTCGCGATGCTTTTTCCATCGGGGATTTTTTTGACATCCGCAGTCAAGGGCTCCACGCTGCGGGGCGGCCGCAACAAAATGTCGCACGCGGGGCCCTGGGCGGCGCATTGGCCGCCCAGGGGCCCCGCGGCGCCCCGCACTCACGGCCTGCGGGCCGGGCCGGCCGAGCGCAACAGGGAAAACGCAAGCCGCGGCAGTCGGGCTGCTGAGGGCCTCCAGCGGTGCGCTCAGCAAACCCGACCGCCGCGGCAACGACGACGACCGAGAACCACACGACGCGACGGGGAGGAAGGACCGCCAGGCCCGCCCCAAGGCGGCTAGTGCGGGGAGTGCGCTCCCGCGCCGCCCTTGGGGGGGGGCATGGGGCCTGGCGGCCCCCCGGGAAGGAAAGCCCTGGCGCGGGGGTTCTGACCTGGAAGGCCCGGTGCCCCCCGCCTGCGCCAAGGGGCACTTTGGCCCGTCACCCCGCTTATGGGGGTGGCCCTTCCAGAGCTTTTGTGTTTTTTGTTTTTTTTTCTTTTCTTCCCCTCGGGGAGCAAAGCGGATGCCGCAAGTCCGCGGCCAGTTCCAACCTGTTCTCGCCCGGGCCTGATCCGCCTCAGGTTCCTGGGTGCCTCCTGATGCCCGCGGGTGAGCACGCGCGCGACGTGGCTTGTGGCTCTGTGGCTGGCCTCGTTGCGCCTCCTGGGCACGGGCGGGGGTCCGTGGTGCCTGGGGGCCGCGCCGAGCCGACGCCCGGCTTGTACTGCAAGTTCTGCAGGTACGAGCGAGGGCCCAAACTCGGGATGCCGTGCGTCACGTCTGGGGCGAAGAAGCAGTGCCACTTTTGCGGGGTCGACAAGTCCGCGGCCTTCCTTGGGAGGGCTTGTGGAGATGAAGGGGCCCCTCGTCGCCGCCCGCCGAACGGCCCAGGTGCCGCTGGTGGGCCTGGAGGCGGGGTTCGACCGAGCTACCTGCAGGTCGCCCGAGGATCCATGCAAAAGGAGAGGGTAAGGCTGCTGGGGGAGGTCGAAGTGCTGCGGGCTGCCAACAAAGGCAAGGGGCAGTTCTCCGAGGCGGCGAAGGCCACTGAGGAAGTCGATACTGATGAAACCCAAATCAAGGCCCTGGCGCACTTCGACGAGGAGCTGCGGAGCCTGCGGGGCATCCTGGCGCTGTCGCAGTACATCAGGGGCACCGTTGACTGTCTGGACGAGCAGAGTTCCAAGCTGCTGGACGAGGTCCGTTCGCAGAAGCCTGTCCTCGCCCATCTGGTGGCGCTGCAGAGGAAGCTCAAGGCGAAGCAGGATGCAATCGTCAAGCGCGAGAAGGTGGTCGCCAAAGTCGAGGAGGCGGTCGCCAATGCCCAGAAGGCGCTCGAGGACGAGTGAGAGCGGGGCAAGGCGCTGCGGGTCGAGGAGCTGGAGCTGGAGCTGGAGGCGAAGATGCGGGACCTCAACCCCGTGGTTCCCAAGCCGCCCGACGAGAGGGACACCCCCGTCGAGAAGGGCCCTGGCCTCAACTTGGAGGGCGTGGCGGCGCTGCTCGAGGAGCCCTCAGCCACGGGCGAGGTCACGGAGCGCGTCCTGGTCCACCGGGGGCTCGCCGAGAAGGTGCTGGCCAAGCCGCCTGCTGAGGAGCGCACTCGGCCTGCTCCTGGCGAGGTCCCTGGCGAAGCCTCAGCGAAGCGGGGGTGGAGGTCCCTGAAGACGAACGTGCCATCGGGGCATTGGCGCGCAACGCGGCAGCACTGAGCACCGTCTAGCCAGTGGGCCTACAGGGCGTACTAAGGCAGAAAGTTCCCCCCCATCCCCACTCCTTCTTCCTACTTGAGTTGTATTGGTGCTGGCGCAAGCTGCAGCGTCGGTGAGTATGGCGGGCAAGTCGAGTACCGTCAAAGGAGTGCTGACCACGGTCAACGTCTCATGTGGGCCAGGGCTGACGGAGTACCTTGCCGACGCCCCTCTCGGGGATCTGTTCGCGGCGCTGGAGCACAGGGCCCTCGGTGACAAGTTGAGCTCGCTACAAGGCCAGGCGCGCGACCTGGGCAACCGCGGGCTGTGGGCCCCAGGCCAGGCCACGGGCGATGGGGGCGTTGGGGGTGTCTGGCGGGGTGGCGCTCCTCACGCGCAACGTCGTCACTGTCACTGCTCCGCCATTCGTGCCCTCTCCAGCCCTCGAGGTGGCGAGGGTGCTTGCAGGCCATGTCCACTGGGGGGTGATGGGGGCCTGGTCGTTGTCGTGGTGCACCTGAAGCACGCTGTCGGCATGGGCGACGACAGCGGCGGCGCCGTCCACGAGCTGAGGTCCCACCTCCGCGTGCTCAACGCGCGCTGGCTGGGCAGGGTGGCCTCGAGGGCCCACGGCTGGAGGAGGCGCGGGGCGCCCCCGCTGCGCCGTCGGATCCGACCTGCTAGCAAGGCGGTCGAGGGCCCCACCCTGGACTACGTCACCGCGGCCCCGAACCTCGACCCCCAGGCAGAACGAGGCGAGGGTCGCCGCCGGCGCGGCGCTGTGCCCGCGCTGCCCAGTCCACGTGGACGTCTCCACGTTGGACCGCGAGGCCAACGCGCGGGTGGCAGCCGAGCCGCGTGGGTTCACGGCGGTGGCGCCAGCGGGGGCGGTACCCTACCCGCGTGAGCGCATGTGGGAGACGGCGTTCCAGCAGGTCCTCGGCATGTCCAGGTCCAGCGAGTTGGAGCAGGCCTGGGGCGCAGCGGTCAGGGCGGCGGAGGCGGAGCTCTGTGATCACTTGTGCCTGGTGGGCGAGGAGAGGAGGCAGCGCGCGGGCAGGGGGCGCGAGGCCGTCGTCAGGCTTGTCCAGCCCAAGTGGCTTGGTCAGCCCAAGGTGAGTGCACGCATGTCGTCGTCGCGGTGGGCGCTTGTCGCAGTCGCCTCATCAAGTTGCTGGAGGCTGCTGGGCTGGGTGAAGTCCCGAAGGGCATGGGAGGGCTTGGATTTTGACCCTGGTCGTCGCACCCCTAGGCCCATATGGGCGACGACTTCAGGTTTGGCTTCTTCGGCGGGGCGGTCGCCCAGTGCCCCCCCCCCCCAGATGGCTAGGGATGTGCCTCCCCTGGGCTGGGGGCAACGTCGATGCAGACGGGGTCTTCGGCTGGGGCTTCGGCGTCGAGAGATGCGCCCGCGGCTCCGTTGGAGCCGCAGAGGTCGCCGCATGCCCTTCGGGCTCTTGCGTGAGGGCGTGCGCCTGCGGTGGGGGGCCCTGGCGGCACAGCGCAAAGCCCTAGTATGCCTTCGCGGCATCTAGAGAGCGTCGCCACTGGCGTCAGAGCGCAAAGTCCTGGTGCGCCATCAGGGTTACCGGGCTCGACGTCGCCACGTGGGCCAGAGCGTGCTGCGGCGCGCCGAGTGCCTCGCGGTGTTGTGTGCGGCGTGGCCGTCCAGCGTGCCGACGGGCGCCGCGGGCCCCCGTCGGGGGGATGCTGCCGGGGTTGCCGCTGGCGCGAGGCTCGGAGACTGCGCCTCTGCGGGGGGGGGGGGGGGGGCGGGGCGCGGGCGGGGTCGGGCGGCCGCGAGGGGTGGCGCGCTGGCCAGGGGGGGCAGGGGGGCAGCTCGTCGAGCACCCTAAGACCCCCCCCCCAAAGGATGGCACAGCCACGCGACCGCTCCGCGTGGTGGAGTGGCGAACAGGAGCTCAACGGCCAGCTGCCCGATGTGCGCGTCGATGGGGGGCAGGCGCAGGCGCATCTGTGGCAAGGGACCTCCTGCCGCGCTGGCGGTCGAGCCTAGCGACTGGCTGCGCGCTGAAGGGCCTGCAGTGGAAGTGCGCGACCCGCCAGCTGAGGGGCGGGGCGGCGGTGCTGGCCTTGACAGGGGAGATGATGAAGGCGGCGTAGTTGGCGGTCGTGATGGGGATGGTCATCGCAGTGCCCACGTTTCGGAGCCGTTGCGTAAAGGTCCTGCAGATCGTGACCTTCGCGCCGTGGGGGGTGGCGGTGGAGCTCGGCTTGCCGGGGGAGGGGATGAGCGCGGCGCATTGGTTATTCGAGGGGAAGGCTGCCGTCACAGTGCCCTCGCTTCGGGGCCAAACCTGCGCGGAGACGAGCATCGCGGCAGGGGCAACAGTGACAATGTCGCCGGGTTGCTCCTGGAGACCCACCGCTACTTCGGCAACGTGGCGAAGTCGGGCCCAGTGAGTCAAGAGCCAGCTCCCCGCTGACATGGTGCAGTGGTTCGACGGAGGCCTCGCGCAGGTGGCCCAGGCCCAGTGGGGCGTGCAGGTCAAGGGGGTCGCTGACGACGCCCAGCGGCTCACCAGGGGCCGAAACAAGGAGCGTGAGAAGGATTGGCGCAGCTGGGCCGACAAGAGCCTAGACGGAGGCGCTAGGGTGGCGCATGGTTTCGCCAGGCTGCCAGCGGCAGCTGAGGTGCGGAGGGCCAGTGCGCGCGACAGCCCGCGCCAGATGGTGGGCCGGAGCTCCAGGAGTGGACGGACGTCTGGGCCTGCCGCGAGGAACGACCCTTGGCGAAGCCGCCCGGCTTTGCCAACTGGGACGAGTTGCCGAGGATGGGGGTGGAACGCCGCCGCAAGGCCGCGCCCAGCTGCAAGGGGCGGATCGCTGTCGTCCAGACAAGCAGTGCCCCGAGGGCCCTGTGGCAGCTCAGTGACATCGGCTTGTGCGTGCTGTCCGCGCTCTTCAGTCGATGTGAAAGTCTCGGTGGGTGGCCGACGACCGGGCTTCGCACGGCGCATGTGCGGCTGCCCAGAGAGTGTGGCGGGCGCAGGCTGATTGCCCAAGTCAGCTCCTTTTCTTCGGCGAAGGGCCAAGGCAAGATCGACGATTTCGAGGGCTTGGTTAGCTAACTTGGACGTGCCTAACCTCTGGGGCACAGGTGGAGCTGGCAGGACGTCGTCGGCGGCGTCCTTCCACCACAACCTCGCAGCGGAGGTTGTTGACCCTCAACGGAGGCCACAGCGTCGCGGTGCTCCTGGATGCCTGGAAGGCGTTCGGGAGCCTCATAGGGAAGCAGGTGCTGCGCGAGGCTCAGCACATGGACTACCCGCTGCGCCTCATGTGGTCGATCCTCAGGAACCACCGCTTGCCGAGGCGCCTGCAGGCTTTCGGTTCGATCTCGAAGAGCTACGTGTCGCACCTGGGCATCCTCGCGGGCTGCTCCCACTCGATGGCGGTGCTGGTAGTGGCGTCGGCCAGGGCACTTCAGCGGTCGGCCATGTGCGACGTCATCCCGAGGACCCTGGCGGACGACACCTCCCGTTCAAATCTTGCTACGTGGCGTCGACGAGGCAGGGGGGGGTGGCCGCCGAGCCCTTCGCCAATTTGGTCAAGATCGGGGCCTGTTAGCACATGCGAAACCTGGGCCACGACCTCGAGGGGTCCAAGGCGCTGGGGAAGGACGCCGGGAACAGGCTCAAGAAGTTGCGGCCGAGCATGCGACGCGCAATGGAGCTGAAGCGGGCTGCAGGCGCCAAGGTGTCGCGCCTGTGGCAGACAGGGCTCCTGCCAGCTGCGGCCCACGGCGCTGCAGTGGATGGGGTGGCCCCTTCCGAGCTGGCAGCTATGCGCACCGGGGCCGCGCGGCTTGCAGGTGCCGAGCGCCGAGGAGGCAGCGTTGCGCTCTACCTGGCCGGCCAGAAGAACCCGTGCTACGACCCGATGTTCGCGGCGACGGTCGAGCCGTTCATGTGCTATGCGATAGTGATCTGGCAGCAGGAGACCGGCCTTGGTGCGATGGAGCGTGCCCGGCGGGTGCTGCTGGAAAGGGTCGAGGCTGGCGAGGACAAGCTGACGTGGGCGTCAGCACGAGGGCCGGTCAAGGTTGTCATCCTCTCGCTCAAGCGGATCGGCTGGGTCATGTTTTCGTCGCTCATGACGCAGCCTGAGGGGGGTCCTGTGATATCGCTCCTGGCCACGCCGCCTCGATTTTTCGGGATCTCCTCGGGCCCGGGATCCAGCGCTGGCAGATGCGCCAGATTGCCGAGCGCAGTTCTGCTGCGCCGCCGAGCCACCCGCTGTGACCTAGAGGCCTTCGTGCTTGTGCGGGGGGGGGGCCGGCGTCGGTGGCGGGGGCGGGGCGGGCGGGGGCGCTCCGCAGCCTGTGGTCCGATTCTCTTCGGCCAACGGCGAAGCTCTGCAAGCGCGGTCTGCGCGGCGATCAGAGGTGTAGAGCTTGCCCGCATGAGGCCGATATGCTAGGCCACGCTTTCATAATTTGCCCTGCGCTGGCGCAGCGCCTGCTTGAGGATGAAGAGGACTGTGGCCTCGACCCGAAATTGGCGGCTGCCCGTGATGTGATGCTCGAGCAAGGGTCGATTGCAGATGGGCCGCAGTATCTTGACTCGTTTGCTGTCTCGATCGGAATCCCGCGGCGGCGAAACGTTGAGGTGCCGCAGCCGCCGAGCGACCATTTTTTTTTTGTTCTCTGGGGTGTGGCTGGGGCTCGGCCAAAGAATCCTGGAGCGATTGTTTTATAAACAATTCATGGCTCTGGATATCGCGACGATGTCCCAGAGCTGCGTCGGCGCGGCTGGTCAGCGGTCATGCTGAACGCCAATGGGGCCCCCGTGCGCGCGGTGCACGGCAGACAGTTGGGCGGGCCGAAAGGCGGGCTGGACTGAGGGCGTTGCAGCATATGCCCTCGGCCAAGCTGCTGGTCAGTGATTTGCTCGGTTTTGTTCAGGAGGGGGAGCTCTGGCGCGACGGGGATGTCGGAAAATGTCACCTTTGCCAGTGCCCCCTGACCAGGAGCGTGGAGGAAGCTTGTTCGGCTGCGGCGTCAGCCTCCGCAGTTCGCCTGGGCCCCTGCCCACATGGCGGAAGAGGAGGAGGTTATCCCCTTTGCCCCCGAGGAGCCTTCGCCCCTTCCCTTCCTCTGGCTCGCGGGGGATATGTGGGCGGATTTGTTTCGGCAGGCTGGGGGCCTTGTCGGTCAAGGTCCCCGAGGTGCATGCGAACTTCTGCAAAGGGAGTCTCTCCGCGGCCCCCCCACTACGCCAAGTACTTGGGCTGGGCGGTCCAGCGGAGCTGCCAGCTAGAGCTCTGGGCCGAAGCCGCGGAGCTTGCGGCTGGCGTGCGGAGGGCGGAGCCCACAGAATTAAACGTAGTTTTGCTCCTCCATGAGCACGACCTAGTGGAGGTCGGGGGTCGTCTGTTTTGTCGGCAGTGCAGGAGATCGGCCCGAACTCCCGAGGCTCGACGCCAGTTGGCAGGGGGCACCGACCAGTGGTGCCGCCCGACGGCTATCCATTCTCTCCAGGCCGAAGTCCTCGAGGCAGCCGCCGTCAACCGCCTGTCGGGGGCGTCTGTGGGGCCTGCGGGTGCTGGGTTGTCTGGGGCTGGGGCGTCTGGCCGGGGGGGCGCGGGGCTGGCTGTGGACGGGGCCTCGCCTGGCCAGGGCCCTGCGGGGTCGTTCGGGGTCGGGTTTGTGAGCCTGCCCGTGAGGGCGAGGCTGGGCCTCCGAGGGTCACCGCGCGTGGTGGACACGACGTTACCGCCACGGGTACCGTCGTCTGGTGTCGGCGGTGCGGGGCCTACGGTTCCGTCCGGGTCGGGAAGGCGTTTGGTGCCCCCTGCCCTGACCCCCAAGACCTGGCTCTCAGCAAGCGGAGGGCCCTTTGCCGCTTGCTGGGGGGGCACGCGCCCAAACCCTAGCGTGGCCCTGGTTGGGGGTTACCGACTGGGCGTTTCCTCCTTTCAGGGGGGAGCTGTGTCAGTGAGCAGACGCTGCCTCTTTTGCTCGTTCCTCGTTCCTCCCCCTCCCCCTCCCCCTCTTCCTCCTCCTCCTCCTCCTCCTCCTCCTCGTCCTCCTCCGCCTCCTCGTTGTCCTTGCCTCCTCCTGCTCCTCTTCGTCCTCCTCCTCCTCCTCCTCCTCCTCCTCCTCCTCTTCCTCCTCCTCGTCCTCCCCCTCCCTCTCCTCCTCCCCCTCCTCCCCCTCCTCCGCCTCCTCCGCCTCCTCCTTCTCCCTGTGCGCCTGTTCCTGCTATTGTTGCCCCTCAGGAAGGCAGGGCCGCGGGCGTGCTGACTGCCGCGGTGGCGTCCGGCACGCAGCCTGCGCGCGCGCTGCGGAGTGCTCGGCCCGACTTTCTGCTCGGCAGCGTGGCCGACCTGCCGGCCTTGCTGCCTGGCTGAGGCGCCTCCGTGCTCGCGGGGGGAGCCTGCGGCTGGCCCCTGCCGAGGTGGTTCCCAAAAGGGGTCCGAGAACACATCAGCATCGTCAACTGTCCTCCTCCTCCTTATCTGCCTCCTCGCTTTCCTCCTCCTCCTCCTCCTCCTCGTCCTACTCCTGTTCCTCCTCGTCTTCCGCCTCCTCCTCTTCCCGATCCTCCTCCTACCACTATCAACAGCATCACCACTATCATCATCATCAGCAGCATCATCGTCGTCATCATTATCATCAGCATCATCGTCATCGGTATCGTCATCGCCATCGTCATCGCCGTCCTCATCGTTATCATAAACAGGTTCGTCATCATCATCAGCAGCATCATCAACATCACCATCTGCATCACCAGCATCTTCAGCATCAGTCGCACCATCATCATCATCATCATCATCAGCAGCAGCAGCAGCAGCAGCACCAGCATCAACATAATTAGTATCATCATACTCATCATCACCATCAGCATCAGCATCAGCCTTCTCCTCCTCCTCCTAATCCTCCTCCTCCCCTTTCTCCCCTCCATGGCTATCACCATCATCATCGTTGCCGTCATCATCATCAGCCGCATCATCATCAGCATCAGCATCATCATCAGCACCATCATCAGCATCATCATTATCATGATCATCATCAAACTCATCATTACCACTATAGCTTGCTGTTGGATCGCGGAATGTGGCAGCGCACCTTCGAGGTAGCATCTTACGGAACTCTCCCTAGTTTACCTCGCGCGCTGTCCTGCCCAGCCGCCCTGTCTAGCCGTACCCATTGTGGCCTGTGCCGAGCTTCTTTTGTGGAGCGATACACGCGAGTTCAGTGTGTCCTTCTTGTGGTCGAGGGAACCTGTACTGATAAGGCGGTTGAGTGTCCTTAGCTGTTCTGCTATCGTTAAGCGGTATTTTGTTCTGGTGTGATCGGAGGCGTGTTCTTCCTCAATTCCTAACAGGCAGCCCCCAAGGGTGTGAAGACTATCTTGGCGGAGTGGAGGCCTAGTGAGGTACTACTGAAGGACGAAGACGTGTTGCAGATGTCTCAGAAAGTGACGGACCCATCTTTGCACAGCCCGCGCAATGGCGCGCTTGACGGCACGTGCACCCAGGCTCTGGTGACTCATCTGGCAGACCCTTACGGGTTCTTCTGGCACCAGAGGAGCTTGTTGCATCGTGTGGAGCGTTCGAATTGGATCTGCTTGACATCAGACTATGACTTGATAGTGATTGATTTCGCGGCGGCTATGCACATAATCGCGGGTCGCCATCAAGCCTCTCCTGGAGGCATTGTGGCACAGTGCTACGTATTCGATCCAGCCGATGTCTGGGAGTTTTCCAACTGTCATGGGGTCCGCCAGGGAGCACACATCTTGGTGGCAGACGTGGCAGACGTTCAGGACGACAGCGCGTGGACTGTGAGCGACCCGAAGGACGCACGCTTCGGGGCAGCGGCTTAATGAGGACGCAGTGGAGCACGAGGGTCATGCTGCTTTGTTGGACATCGGAGGAGTGGTTCGACTTGATGATCGGGAGCCTTGAGACGGGGGTCAATGCAAACGGGGGTCAGCCAGGGCGCCAGATCCTGCAGGATCCTGCGAAGACCCCCTCTGGCTGACCCGGGTTAGCGAGCCGCTCGAGGCCGCGAGGCGGCCGCGCATATTGGCTGACCCGGGTTTGCGAAGACCTGCGTTGCAGTTTTTTTCTCCTGCATTGCAGTTTTTGGTTTCCTGCTGACCCGGGTCTGGATTGACCCGGAACAGAAGGTACCCGAGATGAGGCCGAGCGATGCGTGGCCCTCGTCGATCGTGATGAGGTCGGCGATCCCGATCCAAGAGCGAGAGGCAGGAGTTAGCGTCCGTCGGGTCAGAAGATACCCGAGATGAGGCTGAGCGATACGTGGCCCTCGTCGATAGTGATGAGGTCGGCGATCCCGATCCAAGAGCGAGAGGCAGGAGCTGGCGTCCGTCTGGTGCTCGAGCCGAGGCGGCTCGAGGTGCGGAGTGGCGGAGGCCCGCCCTCGGAGGAAACTCAGGAGGGGAAAAAACACACAGACACAGTTAATCCTCGATTCCCCAGAAAGTATGGGAAACTATGGGAGGTGGGGGGAAGACAGAAACCCAGAACATCTGGGAAAATGTGGGGGATATGTTTATTTGTGTGTACTTATGTGTGTGTCCTGGGGCCCCTTCCATCGAGTGGCCGTGGACGCCGCGCGGCCAAAGCAGGACAACGCTTTTGCCATCGCAGCGGAGCGGCGGCAGGGCGAGGGAGCGACAGACGAAGACGACGACGACGGCGGCCACGACGAGGGAGAGGAGGGGAAGGGAAGGAAGGGGAGGAGCAAAAGGGAGAGGAGGAGGAGGAGGAGGAGGAGGAGGAGGAGGAGGTAGGAGGAGGAGGAGGAGGAGGAGGAGGAGGAGGGGAGGAGGAGGAGGAGGAGGAGGAGAAGGCGGAGGGGAAGGGAAGGGCGAGGGGGGCAAGCGCCCGCGCCCGCACGGCCCCGCCTCCGGCTCAGCCCGGTGGGCCGGGGCGCGCAGCCAGCCGTTCCGGGAGGGCGGCGCGGGGAGCCCCCTCGTTGCCGCCAGGGCGCTGTGCCGGCAGCAGCAGCAGCAGCATGCCAAAGAAGGAGCGCGAGTCGTGGCGCTTGGATGGTCCAAGCACCGCTCCTGAGCCTGTGGAGCACGTCAGGGGTCGTGCGGGGAGTTTCACGCACGACCATGCGGAGTGGGCTCGTCTCACCGTGATGGGGGGACATTGGGGGTAGGCTTATGTGGGGGGGGATGCGCCGCCCCCCGATCGCACAACACTAGTCGCCGATATGGGCCCCGATAGCGCAAATTCGCTATCGGGTGCCTGCCACCGATTTATCGGCGATGCATCGCCGATTCAAGCGGGATTTGTCCCCGTGAGCCGTTCTCCCCCCTGTCGTTCCCTTTAACCTTTTGGTCGCCTTCTCAAAAAACAAGAGATGTTGACGGTCTGGATGCCAGGTTGCCTAAATTCATTGAGCAACCGTTCTATTTGTGCCAGCCTTCATGTAGCTGCGGGGTCATAGGGGTATTTTCTCGTCAGGGTCTCTGTCTCCCGTTCCGCGGCCTATTCTGTGGTTCAGTCTGAGTCCGCCAACGATGATACAGCGCTGCCCAACTGCACTCAGCGTTTGAGAGAAGTCTTACAGTCAAAATCCACAACAAGAACTGACGACTTTCCTTTGGGTGCCCTTGAGTTCTTACCTCTGCGGCCCGTCCTTCGCCATGCTCACTGGCCAGTCCCTCGGGGCACCGTTTGGGCGGGCGGCGTCCTTCGGAACGAAGACCCTCTGCGGCCAAAACCCTTGCGTCTTCACCACCCGTCCTTATTACCCGACCTCGAGCTCGACCCCGACCCCGACGACGACGACGATATTGACGAAGGCGACGATCACGACGACGACCCCGACGTCGACGCGACGACGACGACGACGAAGACGAGGGCCATGCCGACATCGACGACGACGACGACCCCGACCCCGACGATGACAAAGACGACGGCGAAGAGGACGATCGCGACGGAGACGACGACCACGTCGATGATGGCGACGACGACGACAAAGACGAAGAACACGACGACGATGACTACGACGTCGGCGACGACGATGACGACACCGACGACGATGACGACGACGAAGACGACGACGACGACGACGGCAACGACCCCGACCCGACGACAACGACCACGACGCCGACGAACACGACGACCCCCAACCTGATGACGTCGACGCAGACGATGACGAAGACAACGACGAAGACGACGACGACCACGACTACGACGACGACGACGACCACCCCGACCCCGACGACGACCACGACGACCCCGACCCCGACGACGACGACGACGAAGACTACGACCCCGACCCACGACGCCAACGACGACGACCAAGAGGACGATGGCGAAGACGACGATGGCGAAGACACCCACCACGACGACGACCACGACGACGACGTTGACGACGACGACCACGACGACGACCACGATGTCCACGACGAAGCCGACGACCACAACCACGACGGCGACGAAGACGACGACCCCGACGCCGACATCGACGACGACGTCGACGGAGGCGACGGCGAAGGCGACGACCACGACGACGACGACGAAGACGATGACCACGGCGACGATGAAGACGACGACGACGACCTTTACCTCGACCTCGACTCCGACGACTACGACGATGATGACAATGACGAAGCCAATGATCATGGCGACGATGACGAAGACGACGACCCCGACCCCGTCGACGAAAACAAAGACGAGGACGACGAAGACGACGACCACGAAGACGACGGCCACGACGACGACGACGAAGACCACGACCCCGACCCCGACGACACCGACGACGACAACGAGGACGAAGACGACCACGACGAGGACGCAAAAGACGTCGTCGACGACGACGGCAACGACGACGACCACGACGACGACGGTGTCGAAGACGGCCGAGCCCACCACGCGCGACGCGGCCAAACCCCTTGCGTCGTCACCGCCCGTCATTACTACCCGACCTCGACCCCGACGACGACGACGGCGACAATGACGAAGGCGACGAGCATAACGACGATGACGAAGACGACGACTCCGACGCTGACGACGACGACAAAGACAAGGACGACGAAGACGACGACCACGAAGACGCTGACCATGAAGACGACGACGAAGACGACGACTCCGACCCCGACGACGACGACGACAACGACTAGGACGACGTCGTCGACGACCACGACGACGACGTCGACGACGACCACGGCAACAACGACAACGACAAAGACGACGACCACGATGACGACGAAGACGACGACCGAAGACGATGTCCACGACGACCATGACGACCACGATGATGACTACGACGACGACGATGTCGAAGACGACGACGACGACAGAGCCCACCACGCGCGGCCGAACCCCTTGCGTCCTCACCGCCCGGCAGTACTACCCCACCACGA